GGAAACAGACTGGAGAATTTGCCCCTTAGGCTGTTAAGGCAGAGTCATGGCATGTGTAGGAGACTGAACAGGACTTTCTTGGCATGAACCTCCTCAGTTGACAAATCAACAAACCTGTTACTTTATCATTGACAAAATCATTTGCATGGTCCGAGTCCAGCTATGGAGATTTTCTTGGGAATGGAGAAGGCAGCATCCTCCCACACCACGTCCCAGCTAGTGAAGCCTCGTGCAGTGAATGGACCCCTGGTCTTGGGACAGTAAAACCCACTGGTTTCTACATGGCCTCCTGCTGTGCCCCACTGCCTTCCCTTTCAGCTTAGGTTCTGCTCACCCAAGACCACATTTCTGTCTTCAAAAAGGGCATGGACTGGCTTAGGGTTTACTAAGGGTAGGGGTCACCCCACAGTTTTCTTTTTTCAAGCAGTGTGTTTATCTATCTGAGGGGTTTTATACAGTCATGCTTTCGCATAGTATCTGCTTTGAAGATGGACACTCAGAGGGCTGGGCTCACATTTTCTTTCCATTGCAAAATCCTTCATTCGTGTCTTCTAGCTGCCAAGACTGTGAACGCTACCTGAGGCCTGACAGTCAGGCTGTGTTCTTCTAGCCTGTGCATCATCACAGCGATAAAAAAGTAGCTAACTCTTCTGTTGCTGACCTGAGAGCCAGAGTATGATCCAGTTAGTCCTCCCTTAGCTGTCAGTGCTGTGTGTTGCTAATAGGAAGGGAAAACAAAGAGTGAAAACTTGTTTTTTGGTGAAATAAGCAGATATGACTCATAACGCACACCAGGGACTGATCAGTTGAGTAAGAAGGTAGCTTTTTCATTCCCTTCCTTTCTGTCCATAACCAGTGTTGCTTTGGCCTCAAAATGAGTATTGCAATAGCACTACATATAATCAAAAGCTTATTTTAGATGTTTTTCTCCAAAACCTTAGGAGTTGGAAAGCAAATGGAAATGTAGACAAGATAGATATTCGTTTTATTCTCCTGCTCCTTTATTTCACCTACTTTCTTCTTCCCACGCTTCTGACAGATCTGAGTCTAACTAGGAAGGATACAGTTGTTCCTCCTTCCAGAAGTGACTGTATTGGGTTTTGATAGAGACCTGCTACCAAGGACTGGAATCGAATTATGTTCCAAGTTCAAGATTCCCATCAGCTGGGATCACTGAACTTTTCTAGCTGAAGGAACCAGCCAATAATCCAAACTCCTCTCTGAAGGGACTTCCATGAGGTCTAAACTGAGTGCTTAGGCAGAAGCAAATAGTCTGTAGCTAACGCCTCTGTAGTAGTTCTCAGTTACATGAACCAGTCATTCACTCACCCTTTCAAACTGTAGCTACTCAGCATCAAACCTGGAATGACAGCCACCAGCAGCTCTGGATCAGCATTTCAAAATCCCCCATTTTTGACTTTTGGCACCAATGTCTTTCGAAGAGGTGGATACGACCACTGCATGCTGACTGCTGAAATCAGGTTACATACATCTGAGAGACAGCTGTCAAGTGAAGAGCTCTAGAAAACCTGATCTCCAGCTTGCCTAAGCATCTTCATCAAAAAAATGCACTGACTGAGTTCTCATTTTTGCAACCTTTCAACACACAATAACTGTCATGTCTCGCTCCTTCCATCATTAGACAGCTCTGTAGAGCTGAGTCACACAGGACTTATCCCGCATATTGGTCATGCGCCTGCATCACATGGAGGGAGATGGCTCATAGCATCAACTCAGGCCAAGGAGATGGCTCATAGCACCAACCTTGGCCGTGGAGATGGCTCATAGCACCAGCCTAGCCCACAGAGATGGCATATAGCACCAACCTAGGCCATGGTGTGGCCTCTGACCAGGCTGCTGGAGCAGACAAGCACATAGTAAGCATATAGTGAGTTGTGTCCCCAGCAGCAGAGCTTCCCCATGGCTTGGTTTCTGCCCCAGACCCTCTGGCCCACAGTGCATACAGCTCTTGAGGGACTGCAAATCCATCCAAGAAGCTTTGCCAGGCATAGGCTCTCCTGAGATGTGACAAAGGCCACCACATACCCTGAAATGGAGGCATACCTCCAGGGAGGCATGACACAGAAGCTCGTGAGACTTGTGAGGGCTAAATTTGGGCATCTCTGTGACACTGGTGAGATGCTGGAAGTGCCACGGCCCAGCTGTCTATATAACTCCAGTGAGGCGTCCCATAGTCACCTGAGCAGGACTGGGTGCTAGGCAGGCATTTGGCAGCTCCGTTGCATGGCCTCAGAAGCTGCTAAGCATTTCTGGAGATCTAGCGCAGCCATGCATGCTGAGGGCTTCAGAAGACTAGCCACACTTTGGCTGACTGGGTCTTATGCTAAGATGCCTTCAAATCTCTCTGTTGTATAAAAGAGACTTTACGTAGGGGATGATGAACCAGGTAATGCTCCAAAGCTCCTTCAGGATGGCAGAAGGAGACCCAGGCTCATCCACACCAGGACGTTTCCATCAAGGCAGACATGCTGGCATAGCCCCTAGCGGAGATGCACCGTATGCTGACAGGAGTCCTTCTGCTGGCAGCTTTAGCACTGATGAATGACATAAACTAAGCTGATAATAACGCTTGTCTGTCAGCATAGATGTATCCACCCCAGTGCTTCAACAAGCACCATGACCAGCAGGAAGAAGGGATGGCAGTAAGTACCCACTCCTGCAGCTGGTATTGCTGCACTGGTCTCCCTGGAACCGGGGGTCAGGCCACGGTGTATCTGAATTTCATGGTGCTGGGCTTTATTTACCCTGTAGCACATTTACATCAGTCTGGGAGCATCAAGAGCTTTAAGATGAGGAGTGATTGTGATCTCTACAACTAATTTAATGTCCTTGTACACGGCCACTGCGGCAGCATCGGTGAGGATCCAGTCAGGCACATTCCTGAGTCATGGCTTTATGTCATGACACTAACAAGTTTGGATCACCTATGTAAAGTTCTTGGGTTACAGCCAGTAATGAGATCAAGGACAAATTCTCATCCTCTCTCTCTGCTTATGATAAGGGAAATATGCCTTTTCTCTAGCAAAAAGTGGAATTTCCCACTAGGAGGAAAATTTTGTGTGTGTGAGTATTTCACACAGCTTTACTACCTGTCAACTGTACAAGCTAATCAAACTCACCTTCATAATGAAAATTAGCTTTTAATTGCACGAAAATTAGAAATTTGCATGATGAATGAGGAATCATATAGCAAAAGAGACAGAACCTTCAAAACATCATTTTAGATCTCATCCTGCTCCAGCATTTTTATTTCTTGTGTCTTCCATAAACCTAAGCTCTTCAATTTTCCCTCACACACATGGTCACTGTGCTGCAAATGGGACCTGGTGCAGCTCCAGCTGGCCTCCTGCCATCTACATCTATGGGAGCAGAAACGGCCCTGTTCGTGACCATGTTTGAACGCAAGAGATACAGTATAGTATAATTAGAAAAGATTAACACATCACTCAATCCTAAAGGGTCATATAATCATTTAGGACACGGGAACAGTGTCAGTTCCTAATTTAGAGGCCTCAGTTACAGATATGACACACTAGCCATAAAGTAGCAGAAAAAAAATTCACAGTGCAATCTATCTTGCTTTCTGAACCAAACCTGCCAGTAGGTACACAATAAAATGTCCACCAGAACACGCAAAATGAGCGTTCACCAGATCACACCAGGGTCCAGCGCTTTGACTGTGTTGCGGTTTCATTTCAGTTATTTGTAACAATACAGCCCAAAGGCTGCCCCAAAAAGAATTTTTCCCGTACGCTGCAATCAAGGTAAGGATTATTTTTTCCTCTCCAAAGGCGATGTGGTCAGAGGAATGTTTAGAAGAGCTATAGTTTTCTGGCAGATGTACCCTTTCTCCTTCAGATCTCTTAAATCCATAGTTTTCAGCATAAGATCAGATGTCTCCGAGTCCACAGATTACTTCTGAGGGTGAAAAGGTAACTAAGAAAAACAAAGTTTCCATTTGCTGTACTGGGTCTGCGGATTTCCTTGAAATAATGTGGGTTCACCAGCTGGAAGAGGTTGAAGAGCAGCACTCGGAGCTGCCTGTCAGAAAGCTAGAAGCTGGAGGAAAGTCACGGAAAATAACTTTCAAATTTTGTCCCCCTCGAGCAATATCTGCTTCTCCAGGCTAAATGTTAGCAAACGCATCTCTTCAGGTTGTTCTTTTGCCATGAAATAGGAAAACAGAAATTTCCCTTGCTCCTTGCATCCAGTCCATAGAAACTGCTGGTGAATCATAAACAAAGTGGGTGGTAAAGAAAAGAAGACAGAAAGAGGAAAGGAAATGTAACAGTCTGCACTGGGTCTGTTATCCGTGAGTAATAAGGGCAGTTACGGAGAAAAAAATGTTTATCCCTTGCAATTACTACGTGTACCTTTCATCTCGATCACAAAACTTTGGTAATGAGATTATGCCATTTGGCTGTGAAAAACATCATTTTAGCTCTACAGTATCCTCTCCCTGAGGATTTGTGCAAACATTACCTCAAACATCAAACATGCATATTTTAATGAACTGTATTAGTCTGCCTTCTATTAAACTACAGTTCAAAACACTGGTCTTAATGAGTTCTCCCTGTTTCCGATAAAATAAAAATAGCTAGAAAGAAAATCACTTTTTGCTGACAGGGGGGTTGAAATGATTTGTGTTTCACAAGTCAAACAAAGCTAATCTTATTTTTACGTTCAGTTTTGCTGCACAGCTTGGGAGATGAAGCCCAGTGCTGCCGTCAGTGAAGCCTCCCTGATTTTCCCCGGTAAGGTCCGGCCAGTTTGCTGTGCCGTGCTCTCCTGTGTGCGGGTCCGGCTCTGCCCTGTTGTAGCACTCCGCAACGTCCAAGTGGGTTTCAGTGCCATTACTCTGGATTTGCAGCCAGGTGTAAAGGAAAGCAACCCCCAAGCACTGGAAGGGGCAAGTAGAAGTTCGGGGCACATTTGCTGGAGTGCAAGGGAGGGACGCCGGGCAGATCTGCCAGCCTCACCCCGTGCAACGCTCACGGCATCGGCCAGCAAGCGCCAAGCTGGTCCTCTGTCCTCACGATCAGGCTGCCGCAAATGTACGATCTTCCCTGCTATCTGCTCCGACTGCTCGCAGCGGCTTCCTCCATCCCTCCCAAACTAGGATGCAGTCCCACAGGGGAGCGGAGACATCTCATTTTTGGCAAAGAACCTCATTCCCATGAAAGTAAGTGCGGCTTTTACACCACCGTTTAATAACATGGCAACATTCTCATGCATTAGACTCATTTCCTCGCTGCCCTGACTTGAGAAATAAATACTGCCGTAAAGCAAGCTTCCGGAAAGCGAAGCAGCTTCTCAAGCTTGCCTTCTCCTCTGAGATGATGTTTTACAAAATACTCAAACATACTTTCTCCCAACACTGTTTAGTGTTACTGCAGACTTTGCACCCTTCCGCAGTGTGCACCAGACAACGTCAAGCAGCTTATCTAGAGAGGAAAGATTTCTGAGAAAGCAGCTTCAGCTTGTGTGAGCACGCCTGAGGCTGCACACACGTTCACTTGGCCTCGGCCACAACAGGAGTGCGTGCAAAAACGTGGATGGAGTCGTACAACAGCGTCGCCGTAGGACAGAGGGGGTGTGTGTGCAAAGTGGTGTCCTGGTCAAAGCTCGTAGCCGGAAGTGGAAAGAGCTCACGTGGATAAAGATGAACCAAATTGCAACAGTTTAACCTGGGCATAAAAAATACCAGGCTGAGGTGGTTGCGTGGTCTATGTCAGCTACCCAGGTCTAAATTTCTTTACCTGTGCCAGAATAGGATGGTTTGAGAGTAGACTCTCCATGCTCATTGCTGGTTGCTTAAAGTCCACGACTGCACTCACAGCCTGGTCCCACAGCTGAGCTCATGCCTGCCCGCACACCACCCTGCCATGGGATCCACCTCGTCCATCTCCAGCTCTCTGGGAGCTGGGAGAGCCATGGCATCATCGCCTTGCTGCCTCCACTGCCACCACACATCACACCACTCTCAGGCATCTCCTGGGGGACGGAGTCCTTCATTCCCCAGAGGTCCCTGTCTCTCTCTCTCCATTGACTGCTGAGGCAATGGGGACTCTGAGTGTATGCGAGACATCTCATTTTTAGGAAAGCATAGTGCAGTGAGACAGCTGTGAACCCAAGTGACTAGTAGGTAAAATTCTTCCTCCAAGCCTTTTATATCGTATCACCTGAAATGCAGGAAACGCCACAGAGACCTTCACTTGTGGAGATGAAAAAGCACTGCGTGAAGGTTCCTACAGCACCAGGCCTTTCTGTCACCATTACAGTGCATTAACAATTTTTAGCGATTTTTATGTGTATGGCACATAAAATTAACAAACATAATTTATTACCCTCTCACACTGTGGCTGAATGTTTTACACAGAGGACCTATTCATCACTCTCTAACTAGTGCAAACAAACAGGGTTCCATAGTGTTGATTGATGGATGTATCGGGTTTCTTTGCTGTTGCTGCTGCTCACACTGCTCTTGAATTAATAACTCGGAGTTTACTTTGCACATTGTTGTCTCTTTTTTTGAAGAGCATTTGGAACACCTAAAGCCTGATTCTTATTAACACTAAGTCCCTGTTACACCAAAATGGCCTGAATTTGTAATTGAATTTTTCTTCTGTTAAAGGCTCTTTCTATGGCCATAATGATATAAAGAGGATCTCAGCCTGAATAAAAATCAGATTCAAAATCTTTGCTTAAGAACTTGCGATAGCCCTAGTAATCAGCAGAAGTCTTCTGAACATAATGTGAAAAGCAGGTATTAGTATTATGGAGGCTTTACATACTCTATTTGAAAGGGATCCTGCAATAATTCGTTTAGAAATCTAATTTCCTTCAGTTTTTGCAAGGAACTTTTGGAAGTGAGCAAGACTAGTACCTTAACGCTATTGCTTTTGGCTTCTCCATGAAATGCCATTCCCATTTGGACCAGTTATAAACGGCTGAAAATCATCATTTCCCTTCCGCTGCTTGTGCTCCTCAGGACATTTCTGCCACCCTGTGAAAGCAATCATTAAACTCTCCTTGAAGGGAGCAACAGGAGGAGCACATATGCCAGTAGAAACTGCTGGGTGCCAGGGTCTGCTAGAGCTGCCATCTTTAAAAAAACCCTTCCCAAGAGGCATGGCTCACCATCACATCACTGTGCCTCCTCTCACAGCTGGAAAGCAAACAGCAGACCCACTTTCAGAAGCCCTGGGGCTGCTGGGCCAAAATGGATCAGGTCAACTGGAGACCAGTCAACTGGCAAAACTACTACTGCAATGAGGGGCTGGTAGGCTAGGTGAGCCTAAGCTTCACTAGGGGAGACAGGGCGAAGCTGAACTCCCCCCAGACTGAGCACCATTTCTGGTATTCTTTGTATTAATAACCTTTTTGGCTATGATCAAGTAGAGTTCTTTCTGTGGCTCCAGACGGATGTGTGTGTTACAGTGGTCAGAGTGACCAAGAGGAGCTGTTCAGAGATGGACTATAGGAACAGAGCCACTATATGCTGGGACTGTCTCCAACATCTCTTCTGGCTTCTGCCATTTAGGGATTTTCTAAGTGCAACTTTGCATCTATATCATGGTATTTGACTGCCCTTGACAAATATTTCTGCTGAATTTGCTCAACCCCTTCTTCAAATCCATGTCTACCATTGGTACTCACAATGCTGTGCAGCAAAGATGCCTGCAGAAAGTGTTCTCCAGTAGCAGGTATAAGATGCCTTCCTCTTGCTTATTTTGCTGCCTGACAATTTCACTAGGTGCCTACGACTTTCCCTCTAGGAGAAACAGTGATTAATTCTTCCCTATTCATCTTCCCCATGTCATTCATGATCTCTATCTATATTTCCTCTCTCATATCTAATTGTTGCCTGAAAAGTCTCAGGTTAATTATAAGGAAGCTGCTTCTTCCCTTCCATGCGTTGCCTGAGGTGGATGTGCAGATCGCAGGCGGTGTATGGGATGCAAACACCTCATGGTACAGTGGCACTATCCCATATGTATATATATACACGCGTGTTCGTGTGTGCACGTGCACTCCCCACTTCCACTGCAGTGACTCCTACTATTCACTTTACTCTTTTGAGCAAACTTGGTGAGGGTATTTCAGGTGAGTGCAGACTTCATTTCCTTCTCATTCCCTACAGGACTCATTCACTACAGAACTCATCTGTTCACTATAGGGAACAAAAATCTGCTTTTCCTAATCTTTGAGAGTATTGTTTTGAAACTTAAAATATTTGAATGTACCGGGGGTTCTTTTGCTGTTGTTTCTGTAACATAGCAATTCTGAACAATGTTTTGATTTCCATTTCAGTAAGGACAGGGTCACCCTCTGCATCGTCATACAAGAAACTATATTTGCCTTCTGTGTAAATGGATATCTAAAAAGTAGTTGGGATGCAAATTCAGAAGTCCTGGTGTGAAATCAATTTGTCCTGTGATCTACATTTGCAGGTATACATCTTACCTTGCATCTATGTGCCATTTTCTGAAGTGTTAAGATGCTACTCTAGCATACATGAGCTCATTTTGATCACACACGAGTATCAACACTTACAGCCTCCCTCAGCATGGAATGTAAACCTCTGAATTTTTGAACTAGTTTAATATATATATATTTAAATATTAATGAAATGAAATTTTGACCACTTTGGTTACTGAAATCTCTAAATCTTTAAAAGGAAGTTTCCTGAAAATACTCGTTTACATTTGCAAGAATTTTTGCCTATCTGAATTTTTGACAAGGGAGTGCTTGGTCAAAAAAATTTAATTTGAAAAAAATTAAAAAAACCCGCCAAGTTTATGCTAATTCTGAATCCAACCCTATTTTGGTGACTAAAATTAAAGCATCCTTCTGCATCTAAACAAATGGCCTGTTTTCACAAGTACTGATCTACTTCATCCCTCCTTGACTCAGTCACTTTGTACCAAGACACCTATTGAGATATATCACATGTATTTCTAATGCTTGAACTTCACCAGCTGTGTTAGAAAAAAGTGTGGATCTCACCGTCTCAATTTTTAACCTTTACAGAACAATTAGTAGCTACTCACTTCACAGAAGCTTTATGGATGAATTAGTGTGTAGAAAACAGCTAGCATATATTACATAATTTCATTACTTCTGCTATCAGTACTATCTCAGTGTTCCTACTGATATTTGTGCATGAACTTAATTTGGTTTTGTTTGTGCTTGTAGCATTTGTATGGCTAAAATAACACAAAATCTGGGCATTCTACCTCTTTTTTGTTCACTAATATTTATAACATAATTCCAGCTCCTGCCTTATTTTATTGCCACAAAAAGACCAGAGATGCAAGAAAATGTTGGGAAAAGCACAATAAAGACTTGGGAGACACAAGAGACCATGAGGCACCTTGAGAACACCATTCCAGAGGACACAGAAAAGCAGCCATTTGCTTGCTTCTTGCCCTGAGAGTAACGTACTATGTTGTCCAGATCCATAGGCTCAAATGCAAATATCAAGACAAAGTTAACTAATTAGCAGCCTCACAATTGCCTCTGGCTTTTGCATGTTATTTTTGTCAGGCTTGCTTTTGCTTAGTAGTCTCCTCTGTTTGAAAGACTATAATGAAGGTGATTAAAATGATTCATTAACATTGTGCCCACTTGAGCAAACAGTCCAAACATTTCTATATTCCCTGGTATCAAGCGCAGTGATCTTCACAAAAATGTCCAAAGGTCTTTTAGCCTTTTTAATTCTTTCCACAGCTTGACTTTAATTAATGATTCATATGTAAATTTATATACAATTACTGTACCAACTGACTATCTTTCGTTTTGCTTTGGATTCTTTGGGAAGAAGAGAGGGAAAATATTCTCAGAGCTCATAACAACAGTAGACTGTATATTTAAATGAATGCTGCAATTAAATGTCTATAAGTCTATCCGGTGTCCCTGTCCATGTCTTCTACTCCACTTTGTTTAGTAGTGACTGACACAGCTCCCCACTTGGTTCCTTCAAAGAAAGGGCCACATGAGGTGACAGCCAGAAGACTATATTGTGTCTTTGCTATGAAAGCAGAGGACTAGAAAGGGATGTCATTTTAAAACTAAGTGCCTTGCTATCATGTATCATCTAACTTTTATTCTAA